AGAGAGAGACAGACAGACAGATAGAGAGAGAGAGAGACAGACACACATACACAGAACGACAACAAGACATATCAGGAACTCAGTTTCACAAATGCATCGTGTGAATCGCGTGTTTAGAGTTTTTGGAACCTTTGTTTGTTCGGTGTGAACGCAGCGTTACACAGAACAATAAGAATCTGCTCTCGTCTTTCTACAGATACAGAAAACCAGGACTGAGCTGAAACTGTCTTGTGCCAACACCCTGCTCACTTTCCACAGTTATTAGCTCATAGCAGGTTCATCAGGTTTCACTGCCGCGATCAGTCCTTTGGGTTGTCAGAAGCAAAGTGCATGCTGGGACAACGTGGATGCTGACTCAAAACGCTCCTGAACCGACGTCCTCTGCCTCATTTAATTCAGTCCCTGTGTTCCTCGGCCGCTACCTCAATGCCTCGATGGAGAGCGTTCTTCAGTCACTACTTGCGATGGTCCAGCACCGTCACTCAGGCCCTCGTCCTGTCCGTCATCACGTTTTGCATTGTTCTGCCTCTGTGCTGCCATCAGCTGCTTTACTCTTACTTCTTCATCAAGTCCATGTACTTGGACTCCATGAGCGAGGACGTCCTGCGGGACAGTCTCAACCAAGGTCAAGATGCGCTGCGCTTCTGGCAGAGCGCTTCCACCACAGCAGCAGGCTCTTCTAGGTTCAGCAACATCGCCCAGCATCCCGAGCTGCTGGTCACCGTAGTGACAGTCAGGCGGAAGGAAGGACGGGACTTCCACTATTTGCTCCAAGTGATGCAGCAGCTGAGCGGCATTGTGGGAGGCTGTGGGGAGCGGCGGTGTGCAGAGTTGCTGGTCTGTGATGTGGAAAGCGGTCCCCAGGAAAACCAGGATGCCAAGCTGCTGGAGAATCACTTCCGGGTGATCCGGCGCTCCCCTCAGGAGCAGCAGACAGTCCGAGAACAGATCAATACCTTTGAGAGGGAGAAGAGGGATTACGTCTTCTGTGTCCGCAAGGGATGGGAGCTGGTGAAGCCCAAAAACATGGTTGTCCTTGAGGATGATGCTTTGCCCAGAGAAGATTTTTTCAGAGTTGTAAAGGACCTTCTGTCACGTCGCTTTGCCCTGCAGACTCTTTACATCAAGCTGTATCACCCTGAGAGGCTGCAGCACTACTGGAACCCTGAGCCTTACCGCATCCTGGAGTGGGTGGGGCTCGGGCTGGTCGGAGCAACAGCTCTCCTCCTCAGCTTTCCTTACTGGAACCCCTTCTCTTTCTCCTTCACCCTGTCGGTTGGCCATCTCGTCTTCTTCACCCTTTACTTTATGGCTGCTGCGGAGCTTCTGGGACGGCACTATCTCCTGGAGGTGCGGAGACTCTCCCCACAGCTCTACGCCGTTTCCCCGGCCACCGAGTGCTGCACCCCGGCCATGCTCTACCCCGGCAACGCCTCACTTAGGGTGGCAGAGTATCTGGATGGCACGTTCTGTGTCAAGGGGAATGCCAAAGACATCGTTCTGTATCAGATGGCGAGGACGACCCCTGGGGAAACGTCTCACAGTGTGGAACCCAACCTCATTACCCACATCGGGGCCTTTTCCTCTGTCAGGCCCAACCCATCCAGGCCCAAACTCCTCTGAAAGAACCAGGAGAAAGTTTATCAGTTTATCAGATTCCTCCTTGGTTCTACTCTTCTTTTCTGCCATGCCACCTTCTGGACTCCTCAGACATCGTGAGTAGTAGATTTCGGGGATTTTCAGGGGAAAAGTTGTCAAGTCATCAGGAAGAAGTTGGACTAAGTTTGGTGGAAATTTTTTACATTTGAAAGTGACAACTTGTGTTTGTCTCAGAAACCTTTTCAGAGTTCGGGGTTGCTGTGGTCGTCGGTGTTACGCAGTGTTCAGTCACACACTGATTAGATAATGTGCCTTTTAAAGTTTTGTTATAAACTTATATCCATTTTGTAGCAGCCACTTCCATCAGAGTTTTATTACATAACAAGAGGAGAGTTGACCGACAAGACTGTAGCAGAGGATTCCTGTCAAAACAAAAAGTTAGAGCATATACACATAAAAATATTTATGATTTGACAGAAGGTAATGTGACAATCTGTGTCTGATGAAGGTGATGTAGAGGCAACGTCTCCAATCTGTCCCAGTGATGCTGGTGAAACTGCAGCAGCCTGATCAGACATCGTGCATCCTCTTGTAGCAGGTTAGCAAAGAACCTATGAAAGCTATTTAAAAAGGTTTTGGACAAAATGGGGACATCTGGTTTGGAACCAGACATCATATCATCACGCTGGAGAACTTCTGTGACATCAGGTTTTCTTCTTTCTCCACCAAGGTTTCCTCTTCGCCTCTGTTTGTTTGTTTATTTGTTTGTTAGCAGGATTTTGCACAAACCGCTCAGACGATTTATCTGTGTGCAGTTTGGTGCAGATCTGGAAAAATCCAGATCCAGCAAATTTAAACATGTTTTCTTTAGGAGACTTTTGGGCCTTGATTTCTTCATGAAACTACTTTAAAACCCCTCCGATGCTGCCTTAACGTTTCATCACCCACTTTTAAAACTGAACGACATGTCAGATGGAAACGCTGAAAGTGGCAAGGTTGTTAGGATTTCTTCGCCGTTTACTCAGATCTCGTTAAAACGATGGGGTTTGAAAGCATTTAACTCATTTATCTCTTCCTTCAGTTGATCTTTGGTTGAGAGCCAGAAAGAAACGTGTAACAGAATCTTTCAGACATCTTTATCTTCGCTGCTTTCAGAGCACGACCGGATCACAGCGAAGTGACTATCTGTCAGTTTAGGAAACAGGAAGTTGTAGTATGGTTGAGAAACAGTGAACTTTTTTGGACGCAGAGTTCCGACCAAGATTCAGTGAGAAAGAGGAAGTGGGTTTTTTATTTTATAGTCATATCTTTGTACAAAGTTTTGAGAAAGTAAGCAGTCGCATGGTTTTCAGCTGTCACTTTTCTCCAGTTGGAGAAATGTCCCGCCTGACCTGTGTTTGTTACTTTGCGGTAGAACTCAAAACATTTTCACTCTCTGCCTCTCAGATGATTTGGTTTCGCGATTCTTCGCTCAGGACGACTTTGCTCACGAGCGACGAGCGTCCTTCGTTTTTCTAGCAAAACAACGTAATATTATGAGCTAACCTTGCTGGTAGGTAAAGAGGGCATGCAATAGGTCAAGCTTACCGCCCTCTGCTGGATCACGAGGCAAACTACCTCAGATGGTCTGTTGCGTTTCTTGACTGGACATTTAGAATTCGAACAGGTCAATATGAACTTTTCCCTCACGTTCAAATAAAAAGTGACAGCCATGTTTATTTGCTAAGCTAGGCTAAATTCTTCTTTATCCTGTGTCCGACACAGAAATGAAACTGTTGCCGGACAAATCTGACTCTGAACGCGTCGGGAATCAAAAAGATTAAAACGTCAGACAGTTCACTTAACTTAGCGTCTCGCTAACCGCTCTGAATGTGCCTTCGATGTTTCTGACGCTGAACATTATAATGAGAGAAGCGCTGATTGTGAAAAACTTAAAAATGTTTATAATTATAATTTGGCTGATTGCTGATGTTTTTTTTAAAATTTAGTTTGTTATTTTCATCAAACTCACACATTTATGAATAAACCTTTAATATGGTTAGAGCACCACCAAGTGGACATTCTAAGGCCCTGCAGCTTTGACCATTTAACCGTTGCAGAATTCACACATTTAAAAATCAGTCACTGCCATCGATGAATCGCCTTATTTGATTTAAATCAGCGCATCTCTGATTATTATAATATTATGCATGACTCAGCTCTGATTGAAATTACTCATAATGTGTATTAGATTTGCACTCGTGTTTAGTAATGACATTAAATGAACTGCTGTAAGAACAACAGGAAGTCGCTGCCAAAGTAAAACCATCAGGCCTATGATCTCCACTGCCATACATTAAATATATATCTATACATATTCCTTTTACTCTCTTATTCAAAAAACAAACATGGTTATAGATCATTGCTCGTTGTTTAAAACAATTAAAAGTAGCTAGCAAAGCATGTAACACGTTTAAGCAATTAAATCCAGAAAGTTTTAAAGAAAGATGAACGACTTTAACAATTATGTGTTTTACACAATTTTTATTAACAAACATTTTAGAGGGATATGTAAAGAAATTAGCTGCTTTGTTTGTTTTCTGGGAGTTCTGCTTCATATTTACTGTCAAACATGAGGAGACATCGATCTGGAACTCTAAAAAATCTGTATGCTGAATATAAGGTGGAAAGTCACTTCTATCTATCCTCTTCTAAATGTTAGAGGGTTAATTTATGATTCTGTTAGATTAAATTACAAACGTTTTAACGGAGCACTTTAAAGATTTTACTGTTGACGATGAAACATCCTCTTTGTTAAAGAGCTGCTCGTGATCAGTTAACGTTTAACAAGCAATCAATATAAAAACTTTGATTTTGTAAAATGAATTAGGATTATTTCTGATTCAACGTTATTTGCACTTTTTTAAAAACAGAGTCGAACAAACACTGAACAGCCACACTGTTCAAACCACCACCTTAAGGTTTCGCTTGTGTCGTCTAAACAGTTCCGACCTCCGACAGGAAGTGGAGATGAGTCGACCATCTTTATTTATGTCTTTATATACGGTTATATACCCCCCAGCCCCCCAGGACCTATCATGTTGGAGACGCTCTGACAGCTGGTCACGATGCCTCTTGTTGAAGTTATCTCACCCGTCGACATCGTCTCCTTTAACAAGTTAATCAGTATTTTCACTTCAGTGGTTTTAACGTTGTGGCTGATCCGTGTTTTTTATTACAAGAACTTAACGCAGAACCATAAAAGAACAGAATACTATCAAAAGTCAAAGTGCTTCTGACACAAACTTAAATATATATTTGTGTGTGTGTGTCTTATAAGTTTGATTTTCACCTCAGTTTTGCCTTTTACTTATTTTAAGTTTACAACATTAACGTCGTTTTGGTTTAAGTTTGTTTGTGGTTTTATTTATTTTTTTCTGCCATTTTATTTCATTCAGTTAAATCAGTATTTAGATTTATTTAGATTTAGAAGAGTTTCTGCTGTTTGTTCATTCACTGCTGTTGATGACTTATCTCATGCTGGATGTTATTTCTCTTATTCGACACTTTGGCAGATTTATGTCTTTCTGAATCGGAAGAATCGATCAGCTGACCAAAGACTGATGCTCTCTTCATGTTTGAATCTGAAATTTCAAAATAAAAGCCCTGTATTGATTTTACTGAAATTCATTCTCTGAGGGATGATTAAATGAAATATTTTTTTCCAGGATCAGATTTTGATTTTGAGCTGAATTTGAACTTTGACATTGTCCTGATTATGACTCTTCCCATCTTTTCTGTATTTGAAACACAATAAATCACTGGGTTGTCAGAAACGTTGTTCCAGCTGTGATCCCTTTTCTTCAGTCAAAAACAGGTCAGCGTTGTAGACACTGTAAATAATTAGATCGTGTTTGAGTCAAATGAGAAAATCAGAAATGTGAGAAACGATAGTGACTTGAGGCTGTGTCATGTCCTGTGGTCAGTGAAGGCATCACGGAGCTGTGTTGTGTCCTGTGGTCAGTGAAGGCATCACGGAGCTGTGTTGTGTCCTGTGGTCAGTGAAGGCATCACGGAGC